GCACTTGATTTATTTTTGTTGGTGAACAAAAGCACTTCAGCTGTTTTATTGGTAAACAAAGGCACTTCCATTGTTTTTGTAGGTAAAAGCACTTTAGCTGTTTTTGTATGTAAATAAACACACCAGCTGTTTTTAAAGGTAAACAAACATACTTCTGCTGTTTTAGTACATAAACCTACACACTAAACCTTTTTCGTAGATAAACAAACACACAGTTGCTGCATTTATTTATATATTTATAGGTAAATAAACAATTGTGTTATTTGGTCCATAAAGTCCATGTTGTTGTTTACAAATCTTGAATTTAAGGGTACTTTAAAAAGAAAAATATTTTTCAGACTTTGTTTTTTGTGATTTTTTAAAACAAGTCTTCATGTTTTTGCAATCAGTAACTTTAAAAGATAAAAAATAACAACAATAAACAACAACAACAACTCACCGTTGCTGCACAGCTGTTCTCTAGCACAAAGTTTCTTCTCAAACAAACAACCTGCAGAAATAAAAATAGCAAACGTCAGCCGAAGCCTCGTTAACAAGACTGTTGGACAAAACAGGACAGGAAGAACTAGAAACGTTGAAACAAAAACTGCTGAAAAAGCTGAAGCTGAACTGTCAAATAGAAAACAAGCAGAACAGAAGCTAAAAAAAATAACCAAACAGCAGCTAAAACCTCGCTCCATCTCCACTCCAACACAACTAATTTGTTGGACTTTCGGAATAATCCTCTGGTCTGACTGATTAACTTTGTGCCTTCAGCTGATGATGGATACCTGCTGAACACAACTAAAGAAGCTAAAACTGTTGTATGTTAAAACAAGCAGAAGAATAGCTAAAATGAGCCGAACACAAGTTAAAGGCAGCAGAACTGAAGTTAAAAGTAGCAACCCAGAAGATGGAAGTTAAAAGTAGCTGAATGCTATCTTACTGCTACTTTAGTTTTTAGATAAGAGTTTTGCAACTTTTAGCTTTTGTTCTGTTACTTTGAGGTTTTAGCTTGCCTTTTGCTACGTATAGCCTTTTGGTTTGAGTAAAAAACAGCCGAACGAGTCTCACTTTGGCCGAAATATTCTGTATTTTTTTTACTTTGACCTCTTTATTGGATTAATCATGATTAATAGTTACTGCTAATTCGACAGACATGTTAAACGTTTTCATCGTTTCAGGCCGTGTCCTCCGTGAGCGCTAAACCATCCTAATATTTGAGCGCTGAAACAGGAAGTCAGTCATTATTCCAGCGAGCAGACAGAGATGGAGGGTTTATGACTCACAACTGTGTGACGTCTGAGCGCTCACACCTCCGTGTGCAACAAACACAATCGCTTTCATCGCGTTATTTAGAAAGAAAACGTGGCTCTTTGGACAATAATCAGCAGAAACCAGACTTTTTTAAAAACTAGTCTCCGTTGTCGGCTGTTATATATTTGCACACTGTCTCGACCTTGTTTGCTTCTTTGTCTCTTTAAGGATGTTTCATTCATTTAGCTGGTTTATTGTTGGTTTTATTTCGATTTATCCTTCAGATTTCACGTTTTTAGATCCTGTTTTCTTGTCGTTTTCATCAGTTCACCTACAGAAATGAGAATAAAGAGCACAAAGAGCCGATTTAAAACAGGTTCCTCTAAATTATCTATGATGCGTCGACACAACTCTGGCTCAGCGTCGCGTTAAATAAATGATCTTATTTACCTCAGACGGTTGGTTTCTGTCTCCTCTCTCTGTTTCATCTGGTCTCTCTTTAGCTTTATGATTTACGCTAGGAGACTTCTCAGACTTTTAGCTTCTAACTCGTTTTTGATTCTCCTAATTAGCCTTTACTACTTTTAGTCTTTTAGCTAACATTTTTCTACTTTTATCTAAAAAAGTTGTTCTCTTTTGTCATTTTAGCTTTGAGTTAGCCTTTTTCTACCTTAAGCTTTGGACCAGCCCTTTGATATTTAGCGTTTCCACCAACGTTTTATCTATGTTTAGCTTTTAGCTAGCATTTTGCTACTTTTAGCTTCAAGCTAGTACTTTTATATTAGGCTAAACGTTTGCCAGTTTTAGATTTAAGCTACCGTTTTGCGACATTTAGCTTTGAGCTAGCCTTTTGCTACTTTTAGCTTCTATCTACTGTTTTGTCATTTCAGCTTTGAGTTAGCCTTTTTCTACCTTAAGCTTTGGACCAGCCCTTTGATATTTAGCGTTTCCACCTACGTTTTATCTATGTTTAGCTTTTAGCTAGCATTTTGCTACTTTTAGCTTCTATCTACTGTTTTGTCATTTCAGCTTTGAGTTAGCCTTTTCCTACCTTAAGCTTTGGACCAGCCCTTTGATATTTAGCGTTTCCACCTACGTTTTATCTATGTTTAGCTTTTAGCTAGCATTTTGCTACTTTTAGCTTCAAGCTAGTACTTTTATATTAGGCTAAACTTTTGCCAGTTTTAGATTTAAGCTACTGTTTTGCGACATTTAGCTTTGAGCTAGCCTTTTGCTACTTTTAGCTTCTAGCTACTGTTTTGTCATTTTAGCTTTGAGTCAACCTTTTGCTACTTTTAGCTTCTAGCTACTGTTTTGTCATTTTAGCTTTGTCAGCCTTTTTCTACTTTAAGCTTTGGACCAGTCCTTTGATATTTAGCGTTTCCACCTATGTTTTATCTATGTTTAGCTTTTAGCTAGCATTTTGTAACTTTTAGCTTATTGTTTGTTCTAAAGTGTTTGCTCTAGATGTTAGCTAACATTTGAGACTTGTAGTTTTAAGCAAGCTTTCTGATACATTTTGTTTTTAATAGCCTTTTGTTATTTTTAGCTAGTGTTTTATTTTACCTTCAGCTTTCAGCTGGCCTTTTAACTAGACTTTTGTAACATTTAGCTTCTAGTAAGTCCTAATACTTTCAGCTAACATCTAGTGTTAGTTTGCCACTTATTGCACTTTTTCAACCTTTAGCTTTGAGTTAGCATTTAGCTAATTTTTGCTTCTACCTACTGTTTGTTACTTTTAACTTTAAACTAGCCTTTAGCTACATTTAACATTTTGCTGTTCTAGGCTCTTAGTTAGCATTGATTGTTTTAGCTTTAACAAATCAGTTTGAACTTCAGCTAATTTCAGATAATCTATTTTCTGAAGTTTGATTGACAGGTGCAGAAGGAGCTGCAGTAGTGACGTCATAGATCGTCTCTTCCATATGAGCAACAAAGATGAAAATGATTGACAGCTGCAGACCTGTGGCTGCATCAGTGATGGAGGCAGACGGAGCAGGAAGTCCAAACGGATCAGAACCTGCAGCCCAGTCGGGTTCTGATCATCAGAACTTCCTTCTCTAAAAAACAACTAAAATATTACAAAAAAAATGTTTCAAATGTTCTGAAGTCCTTTAAAGCCGCTGCACGCGCTTCAGACCAACACAGAAAGTCGTGAGTTCCTCGCGGCGCGGAGATGGACCGGAACCGAGCCGGACCCCCAGGCTTACCGTGTCGAGCGGCCGAGCAGAGCCGGCAGGAGGCGGTCAGGAGGAGGCAGAGAGCCGCCCAGAGCCGCGGAGACCTCATGGTACATCCAGCATCCACCGGAGAGGAGGAGGAGACGGAGGAGGAGGCTCTAGCAGCTCTCCATGTCTGAGGAGGAGAGGCTGCCGCTGCTGCTGCTGAGGAGGAGGTGGAGGAGGTGGAGGGAGGGGGTGGGGTGTGTGCAAGGGCCGCAACCAAACTTCACTGGAGAAACGTCTAACCCTGTATGGAAGGCCATTACTGCCATAAAAATAAACAATCAAACACGACA